ATATATATTAATCTATAAATAAAATAAATAAAAATGCTCTATGGATTAAGAATATAAACTGAATATGAAATTCTTTTGATTTATTTTGGGTTAGTCCATATCGAATCATTTATAAACGAGTCAAAGCGATATAAGCAATAGAAAATAATTAAAGAACAAAAACCAAGCTAAGCCAAATCAGGCAAATCTATACATTCACATGCTATATATAGGTAATAAAGCAACTTACGTGCTCCTTGAGACGATTCAACATCTTCTTGATGTTCTCATCGCGCAAAGCCTGAGCTGTCTTCAACTTCTCCTCAATGGCCTTCTGCTCATTGGCCTTTTGCTGCTCCAAAGTCTCGCGCGTCTTCTCAATCTCCTGGGCATGAATCTATACAGAGGACAAGTCTATTATAATATATTTTCTTTATACCATATTCAGGTCACCTTTAGTTTCTCCTTCATGTCGCTGATAATGGCCTCGCGCTTCTCCACGTGAGTCTCCATTTTGGTCTCCAGCTGCTCCTTGGTCTGAGTGATGAACTCGTTGGTGATCTCATCCTTTTTGCGTGTAGCTTCCTCCACCTTGGCCAGCTTAATGGAGATCTCGGCCATCTTGCGTGCCTCCAAGGACTGCATAATATTGAAATTATTCAAATAGACGATTTATTCCACTCTCTCTCTCTCGCTCTCTCTACTCACAATGCGACGCTCCTCGGCTGCCTTTAGCTTCTGCTCGATCTCCTCGACGCTGACATTCTTGCCCGGTGTAACGGGTCGCTTGGGCACGGCCACATTGGGTGCTGGCTCGGCCAGGATGACCTCATAGCTAAGGCCGCCGCGCGACTTCTCCTGGCAGCGTATCTCAGTGGCTGCAAGAAACAGAAACCGGGATTCCCCACACTTTAGTGAGTAATTCAATATTTGTGCATTTTGCGAAGGGCACAAAAAAGAGGGCGCATTCGCCATTACACTATATACTATCAATACTATATATTATATACTATATAGTTTAGGGTAATTTGTAAAAGTCACCCTCAAGCTGCACTCTATATGACGTCAGGATTTTTTTTTTTTTTTTTGGCAAACTGTTGCTTGGGGTTGCTGCACAGCATTTAATGGGAATTCAATAATTAATTATTAAATATAAATTTTATACTCCTTAAATTAATTATATTTAGTTGCCTTAATATTAAAGAATGTATGTATATATAATGTGTACAAAAATATTAAAATAAATTATTTCGATTTCTTTTATATACATACATATATAGAAAGCCATTTTCAAGTCAAGAAAAGTTTAATGTCAAGTCACATAGCAAGAGATTTCTCCAAATGGCTCATTAATATATAAATACAGTAAAATCAGTATATATAGGCAAACGTTCAGGTGTCAATATCCTAGCATAGAGAGCACTTGTTAAGAATCTAGTCCTTACAATGACTGGAACTAGGCCAGATTTCTGTATAGAATTTTAGAAAATAAAGTCAATTCAATTACCATAATCCAGTTTTATTTATGTACAACGATTACAAATATATAAAGCATATATTTCAATAAAATATAAATCTATTTAGCTTCTCAAGAAACGAATGCAAAGAACATATATCGAAATGCTATATCCGATACTTTAAGCCAAAGGCCTTCTTTCAGCACTCGGCTTGGCTTGGCCCTAGCGCCAGCAGCTGAAAGAGCCTTAAAAATGTGGCAATACATTAACTTTTGCCACTTCGCATCTTTTGGCCTTGTGCCCGCAGCTGTTGCGGCTTTTAGTTGCGGCGTTTGTTTCAGGCGCAGCTTTGATTAATGTGCAACACGATCCACTGTTGCATTCGCCATTTATCATGTATATATATACAAATATATGTATGTATATATTTATATAAGTATATATGACG